CTCTCTCTCTCCCCTGCCTACCTATCTACCTATTAGGAGGTGTGACAAATCACATTTCCCTCTTACCTCTATGATGCTCTTCACTTTGTCCCCCAAGCAGGGAATTCCTTCTGTGTCCTTCATACTGATGATGGTGAACGGCAGTGATTTAAGTACAGAGGCAGCTCTTGCGAATACCAGATAGGAGCCTTCATTCTCCCTAAACTCACAGTCTTCAGCCAGTACGTCAAAGGCATCCTGAAGGGTAAAACCAGGTGAGTCAAACAAGGCCTGCCTCCCAGCCCCTGAGCCAGTGCTTGCTTGCAAATGCCTCTCGCTCTCCTTTGATACTGGAATGCTGCCTGCCCTTTGCCCAGAAGGTCAGGATTGGGTCTCCAGCACCTTGGCACCCCTCCCTTGCTAGACAAATGGAGTTGAATTGAAAAGACAGGCCACAGGGTGCTTTGTAAGGAGACTTGGAGCTCATTGCCATTAGACGTTCAGGAATGGTTTAACTACAGCATGACCTCATGCTCACTGCATCCTACTAGTCATTACTCCACATTACTGATTCTTCCCTCTTTGTTTGCTGACTTTCCCACCAGCCTGTGGCCAGGATTCTGCCTTGATCACTGGGTATCCCATTTCTTAGCTTGTATATAAAACACAGTCAGCACTTAACACGGGCGGGTGGAACGATGGGTGTAATCACAGGTGCACAGACCAAGGCCAGGGTCATTTGAGGCCAGGGCAGGTTTGCTCTTCTAGCCGAGGAGGAAGTGGCTGCAGCTGTGAGGCCTCCTGCTCATGGTGCCCAGTAGCTGCAATTTCCTGGCCTCCCTCACACACAGGGGGCTAGAAGGCTAGACACGAGAAGTTCTGTATTCGACACAGTACTGCATGTTTTATCCACCTGATGGTTGATCCTTTGCTGGAGGACAAGCAGTTGTGGGCTTGTCCACACAACTGCCAAACTTCAGGGCTGGGTGGAGCTTTAGAGATAACCTAGCTACTTTCTAATTGAACAGACGAGAAACTGAGGCTCAGAGAGGAATTGGCTTCCCTGAGCTTGTTAGTATCAGAGAAGCGAGAAGCGAGGCCTGCCATCTCTCAGCTTTTTGGTTTCCCAGCAAAGGCTGTTTATGCATTATTGCTCTTTTTACTATGTTTTTTGCTCTTACTATGCTTTGGACTAACTGCAGTATTAGATTTCTCAGGATATTTGCCTTTGACAAGAGTCGTGCCCAATAATGACAGAGCTCAATAAATAGTAATCTACCATCTCTAAAGAGTATAATCCGAATATACTTGTCCATTTCCACGATAGAAGTAGACCTATTATTGATAGAAAGAAAAACCAGACATCAGGGTTGGGGAGGCAGGTGAGTGCGGGGAAACTTCCCTAGCTTTTCAGAAGAATTCATAATCTGTAGGCCCAGGGGAAGGAGCTGCACGCCCGTCATCGGCTCTGGGTGTCCACAGCCCCGTTACCGTGAATAGGCGGTTGCAGTTGTTTAAAGTGGTTCTTCTCTGACATGCGTATGGAGAGACCTTTCTCAGAGCAAGTGGCGGAGTCTCCTGGGGCTCCGGGCTGGGGCTCCCTGAATCGTCTCTTCTCACCTAAACAAATGCAGAAGCACCCACTTCTAATAACAATCAATACTAATAGTAATAGATACGTATGAAGACAATATCAGAGGCAATTTAATGGCAATTATCTCTGGAAAATAGATAAAAGGACAAGAGAGTCAAATTGTATGTGATACAAATCTCTAATATTTGAATTTGTTATAATTAACATGTATTATTTTTGCAACCAGGCAAAAAAAACGTGAAAAGGGACCATCAGTGAAATTTTCCAGGAAAAAAAAATGAACCTTCCTCCTGAGGGTTCTAGCACATTGGTGAAGGATTTTGAATTAAGAGCTTAATTTACTTAATTTTTTTCATTACGAATGGTCATAGTAAGAAAGCAATAGGAACCTTCTACTTCTCTGGCTGCCAGAGCACCAAGGCTTCAATATTTTGAAGCATTTGTGTACAGACCCCTTCATAAACATAGCCACCACATATGAAGTGCCTATTATATAGGTCAGGTTTTGGGTTAAGTGCTTTGCATATATGTTATTCTAACCCTCAGCACCATTGTACGAAGTAGGAACTATGTTTATCCCACATTACAGAGGAGGAAACTAAAGCTCAGAAAAGCCAAGTGACTTGCCCAAGGTCACACAGGGAGTGAGCAGAGAATCCGTGTCTGTTGATTCCGCAGCCCACGGCCTAACCATCAAGCCAAGGACAATGGAAATCACAACCAGGACACTTACCACAAGCTGGTGTTGTCCCGTCATCTCCACCGGTTTTCCTGCTCTCATGCATTCTATCAGCCAGGAGACATCGAGGAGTTCCAGCTGTGAGCTCGCTTTTATATTCTGTACCTGAAGCCACTCCAGCACATCGGAACCAGAATTATTTTCTGCCACAATGTGGGTGACGGAATCACTGCAGAGTAAGACAAATTACCAGCTGAAGGGGCTTTTAGAGTCAGAAGCTCTCCTCTTCCCTCAGGGTGTTCAGAACATTCCGTCTAATGGAGAAAGACACATACTAGACCCGACCACAGGCACGGAGAAGTTAGGCCTCAGGGCAAGGGAATTCTCTCTATTTTAATAGTGTAGCAACAGTGGCCTGTTACATGTGAGATGCAAGAAGCATTAACTAAACATTAGCAAGATCGTGGTGTCAGTGCAAAGCCAAGGTCCAGAGACTGTGGAAGATGGGATAGTCCTTAAAGTAGCACCCAGCGCTCTGCATGGGGCTTTGGTGAGCTCTTCCATTTTTATTTGTAGAGAGTTTTAGTCTAGTGCCTTTCAAACTAGTTGACTGTGTCCCACAGTGAGAAATACATTTTATATCATGACCCAAAACAGAAATAGACATAGATGTAGATATGCTTATAACCTCCCAGTCACTTGATCACACAGCCCATTAATAGGTAGTGACCAGCCTGTGGGAAATGTTGCTTTCCATGTTCTTCTGTGATGTAAGACGGGCCGGGATCTTTTCCCTAATATCCACTGAGCAGGTACCATGTTTCAGCAATGTCCAAGACCTTTACACACATCATCTTGTTTAATACTCACATAGCTCCCCAAGTAAGTGTATGTCACTCACACTTCAAAAATGAGGAAACTGAAGAACAGAGAGGTTATGTGACATCCTGAAGGTGACACAGCTAGTAAATGATATTTATCCTTTTTGATGATTTTTTCTGGGTCAAGTACGTTATTTTTAGTTTTTAACAAGTCTTCACAGTCAGCATTATATCATTGGGACCAATGATTTTTAAGGCTCTTACAGTTCCAATAGTCTGAAACTGGGAGAGAGCAAGATGCATATCTAGGCATCCAAGAGAAAACTAGAATTCTTTTCTCTTATTTTTCCTACCTTTCATTCTTGACTTCCTTTTTCTCCTCCATTTTTGGATTGACTCTTGGATTCATTCGGTATTTTTTGGTTTACCAAAATCCTCGATGCTCTAGTCCCTTATATAAAATATATAACCTATGCACACCTTAGTATTTGCATATAACCTATGCACACCCTCTCGTATATGTACTTTAAATCATCTTTAGATTACTTATAGCCCCGAATACAGTGTAAATGCTATGTAAATAGCTATTATACTTTATTGTTAAGGGATCAACTGTCTGGAATTTTAAAGTTATTTTCCACCTATGATTGGTTGAATCTGGGGAACCAGTGGATATGAAGGCCCAACTGTATATTCTTACTTAATCCCTCTAAGAGTCTTTGAAGGTGCGCAAGGTAATTTTAGATGAGAAAAACATGGCTTGCAGAGGTTACATGAAGCCAGGATTCAAACCCAGGTGTGCATGACTCTAGCAATCTCTTAACGTTCTACTAGACTGTGGTTAGACCCCTCGGTGAGGTTTTGTTTGTTTTGGTATTTTTCTGTCATGAGCCATCTATTATCATTTTTCTTCTTAGGAGAAAAAATATGCATGAATGTAATTTTCAAGGACAAAAAAGCCTGGGCTGGGGCTGAGGTAGTATCTGCCTTGCCCCTGAGGCCTGGGCTTCCTTCTTATAATAAAAGGTGATAGGAGGCCTCACACAGCCAGCCCCAAACTTTCAAAGACCCCAAGGCCCTGCTGAGATGGCTGTTGCGGAAATATCAGTGGATTCAGTTCCTTAAATGCACCTAGTTTCTTAGCCATGGCTAATTCATGTGTTGGTCTAGGTTTGGGAGGCCTTGAGCCAATTAAAGCAGTTCTGAGACAGAATTTGTCCCTCAGCTTCCCACAGGGCAAACATGCAGGGTCTTCTGCAACGAGTGCTGGACTGAAATGTTCTCCTCGTGCTCACTGGTGTCCGAGGGCGAGGGGAGTGTTATAATCTGCCTCTTGACAGTCTGGGTTAGAATCATGCCTGGTGCCCAGCACATGGCCAGATTCATAGTAATGGTCAATAGGTAGACCACTGGTAGAATGAATAAATGAACTGATCAATCAATGGCTCTAAAGGAATGTTTCTGTTTTTTTGTTTTTTAAGATTTTTTATTAATTTTTAGAGAGAGAGGGAAACATCGATGTGAGAACAAAACATCAATTGGCTGCCTCCAGCACGTCCCCTATTGGGGATCACACAAGGTATCTGCCCTGACTTGGAATCAAATCAGCAACCTTTCAGTGCACAGGATGACGCCCAACCAAATGAGCCACACCAGCCAGGGAAGGAATGTTTCTAAATTCTAGTGTCTACTGGAGACACCCAGGAAGCTGGGTTAAAATTCAAATGCCAGTCCTTATTACCAGAGAATCAGATTCAGTAAATCTTACCTAGGGCCCAGGAATATGCATTTTGACAAAATCCCTCGGTGGTTCTGACATGGTCAGTCAGTCCTAGTTATCTGTTGGTATGTACCAACTGCCCCAAAATGTAATGACTTAAAAAGGGTAATGATTTTATTATATCTGCAATTTTGTGGGCCAGGAATTCAGGCAGCTTGGCCGTGATCCTTCCGTTTGGTGTGGTCCCGATAGAGGTGCAATGTTCCACATGTCTGACACCTCGGTGAGGATGGCTGGGAGGCTGGGCTCAATGCACCTATCAACCTGACACCTTTACAGGGCCTCTCTCAGAGGAGACTCAAACTCCTTAAGTGAGGTTCTGTGATCCAGGGAACAAGAGAAGTCACCAGGCCTTTTATAATTCGGCCTCAAAAGCCAATAGTGTCACTATACGTTGAAGCAGTCACAAGCCCTCCCAGATGCAATGAAAGGGAGAATAGCCCCTGCCTCTCCCTGGGAGTGCCCATATTTTAAAACCCACCCTCAGCTCAAGGACTCCACTTTGAGAAACACTGCTGGAAAGAAAGATCTTTCTTTAACTGCTCCACACTGGATGTTGGGCTCAATTGCAGCAATGTTTCCCAACATGGTACTCATTTCCCTGCAGGTACATCAGATAATTTTAGTAGGCACACAGCTGAACATTTAAAAGGCATATGTGTTTATATATATCTACATTTTAAAATTATGCCTATCAGACATGGTTTTAATGGGTTTTATGGTTTTTACATTACTCCTTAGGACAAAGCTAAATTACTTTTAACAATACAGTTTAGGAACACATTAAGTGTATGATAGCACATATGGTAAAGCATGTAAGAACCCTAACTGTGGCACTCAGATGCCTGGAAAGCCCTGAGTTACGGAATTAACTCATAAATCTTAGTTCTGATTTTTTTTTTTCTCTGATACCTATATCCTGGCTTTTTCTTCTTTCTTTTCCTAGTTGGTCCTGCCTCTCAGTATAATTAGAAAAACCCTCCTTGGAGAAAGAGGCAGCCATCCCTTTTGCCAGGAGCCGGGCCTCCAATCTGACTTCCCCGGTTTTTATCTTTGTTTTTAAAACTGTTTTTTTCCCCCCTGGAAAGGTCGTTCCTGATTCTTCCCATCTGATGTAGGGCTTATTTTATAAGCAATGATTTTAAATAGTAATTTATAGCTCAGCTGAGCTGTTTACAGTTTAAAAACCCTCCTGCCAATTTTTCTTAGCAACTGATCTCTTTCAGAATCCCTGAAACAGAAAAATTGAAGCAGTAAAGACAGGTTTCTATTTCCAACCCTGACAGACTTAAGACTGATAGGGCCTTGCCTTACTTTTTTGGTCTTCTTAAATAGTACTATGAACATTTCCATTAATTTAAATTCCACAAATCTCAAAATACCAAGTAATTTGGACCAGAGCAGGACCAACGTGTACATTGCATGCTCTTGAATTTATAAAAATGAAATCTTTATCATTTTGCTGCTTACAGAAGTAATACTGATATATTGTAGAAAAAAATTTCAATTACTAAAGCTAACCTTGGTTATCACAAGTTCCTCTGCTGGTTCCGTAGCCAGCAGATAAATCATTCTTTTGAGCAAATATTTCCTGAAGCCTACTGTGTGTAAGGAAATTGTGAAAGGCCTAAGGGTGAGGTGTGCGTGATGGCCCTGCAGGCGCCCTGCCCTCCTGGAGCCAGGGAGGGGTTACTGAGTGGGGTGAAGAACAGGCCAAGCGGGAGGCCACAGATCACACCTGTGGGCCAGGGAGGGCGCTCTCTCCTCTAAGAGGGTTTCCAGGGGCCTTAGGTCTTATAGAGAGGTGTAGGGGGAAGGGGTTCGAGGTCGGGG